TAGGGAAGCCTCTGTCTGAAGGTCTTTGCCGGCAACCACATAGATTTTGTCATCCACCTCTCCCAGACCAAAGAGACACCTGGCTGATGGTAGAGGTGGAAGTCCGACCCACTCAGATGTTATGCTATCAAGCTGAAAAAAAAAAAAAAGAGTTATGAAGATTGGTAGAAAAATGTTACCAGGTGTAACTAAAAAGCACACAATATTTCATGTATTGTTTAAAATTTACAGAGACGGTCTAAGATCTTGTAAAACTACAATCCTAAAGCATCATATTTTAGCTCAGAATTACTAAAAAGAATGAGAAAATCTACTTGGTCTATGAAAAATACTGCCCCCCCCCCAATAAAAAACCCCCAAGACATCAAGAAAGGAAAGAGAATAAAATAGAATTGTTAGGTTCGTTAGAACTGTGCAGTCTCTTGTTAAATTTTCTTCTGAAGTTGCCTTGTTCAGTTTTGAAACAAGGAATCTTAATACTTTTGGGACTCTGGAAAGACACGTCTGTGGCAGGGGTCACAGTCCATGGATGGCCCCTGGATGCTATATTTAACACACCCCCAAAGCCAGCACTCGGGACAGCTGGACTTGTCGCTCAGTCCACAGACAACTCAGAGTCTGGACAGTATCACTTTTCTGTTTTTTAAACATGGCTAGGTTCCCTGTGTTTTATTGTTTTTGATACAGGAAAATACTCATTTCAATACCCTCATTTTGAGTAGAGTCACCTTAAATATCCTGCTTCTGGTTTATGCTAAGAAGTAACCCGGCTTGCAGCCAGCCCTGCGACAGCCCTGCTAGTGCCACACTCTGGTGATTCTAGCCTGGCTGGCTTTACTTTCTAAAATCTGAACATATTCCTTTTTGCATTTTAGGGCAACTCTGTCAAGGAAACTCCTTCTGAGTGGTGTGGCTGCAGCTCCGTGTGCCGCTTCCAGGCAGCAGAAGAGAAAAGCATTCAACTGAGATTCACGTAAACCTAGTGTAGCCAGGAATGGGAAAGACTGGGGTAGCGGTGGTAGTGACATGGAGGGACATCTGTGGAAGCCTTTCTGTTTCTGGTCTAGTAGTGCCAGTCAAAGGAGGTACTGAGACCAAATGCCATGCGTGCCATGGGTCAATTGCTGTGTGCGCAGTGTTGGCTTTGCAGACACTCATTTCAGCATCTAGATTGTGACTATATAATGTTTACACTCTTGAAAAAAAAAACCAAGAAGGTATCATAGTGCTCAGTGGGCGGGGGGAGATTCCATGTGGAAGACCCGAGGTTTGATTCCTAGCACAGCCACAGGCAGGGTGGGGGAAGTACTGTGTACAAGAGTAGAGATCACAGCAAACATCCATGGGAGGCTGACTGTGAAGGGTTTTGCACAAAATGCTCCGACAGGAAATCTCATTTGGTCTTCTGGGCTAGGCGCTTCATCATCTGTATTACAGATGAGAGGAAACTAAGTCACAGAGATTAAATCACTTGCCCAACTTCACGGGGCTTTTCAGGTGGTTTTGAATACCACGTTGTCTAAAACTATAGTGTTTTGTTGTTTGTTTGAGACTGGGTTATGCAGCTTGGGTACTTTATTTTTTTAAATGGACCAACAGCTACCACAGTCCCAAACCTGAGGGCCCAGTTCCCATAGAGACTGCAGTCCCTACCTTGGTCTCTTAGCATGGAAGCACTTTCTACAGCAGATAGATGATCAGTAGGTTGCCAGCCAGCCCCTTTAGCGGATGAGTTCTCTAGATATTTAACCCTTCCAGATCCCACTTTCCTCATTGTTAAAATTAGGGCTTATACCTAGACTATCTCAAAGCTTAGTGTGGTCTAAAACTTGATGACTCTATTAATTTCATGGAGGGGGAAACAAATCTTAATAAGGCCCCAAATTCCCATAGTCTATTTGCAGCATATAACAAATATCAATATTTGATCATTTATAATATCAGAGTTAAGTTCACTCTGAACTTAACACACCTCACACATGCAACCAAGCAGAAAAACACAAAACCTGAGATGCTCATACAAAGCTCTTGTTTATGGCTTTAATTCAGGCCTCTTGTTCTAGGTTTGTGCCTTTTAGAAGCGACAAGGGAGTTGTGCCCTTCCAACTCTGTGTAACTGTTTTGGTGGCTCATGCTTAGACGGGTAATCTCACTTGGAAACTACAATAAAGGTAAAAGGAAGTAATAGGATGGACAGAATAAAGGTTACAATGAGTACTTAAAAATAAGGAGAGTGTGGGCTCTGGATATATTTTTAAAAGGGGTGTGTGTGTGTGTGTGTGTGTGTGTGTGTGTGTGTGTGTGTGCAAACTCCTAGGTCCTTAGCCTGATAGTCAATATACTAATATTAAATGGAATAAAGCCTGCAGGAGTATTAGAGAATTATTCTATCTGTAACTGTTCCTCGAATCTCTGATTATATATCTGTCTGTCTACTTCGTGCCTACCTATCCATTTGTGTTTTTGATAGTTTTCACTTTCTAGATATATTTACAATTGTTTTCATTGGATTTGCCCTTTCTAAAGCTAATCTGAATTTGAAACTAGGGCTTAGGGAAATTTCTGGGCCACATTCAAATGCTTTTGCTAGAACTGGAACTTAGAAAATGAAGAAACATAATTAGTATATATTATTGCTCTATTTTGTTGAGATTAGAAGAGTTGGCAAAAGGTAGTAGTCTGTGAATGTATGGTATGCTGTGTACTTTGAGAGCATGCAGTGACTGTGGTATGATATTCTACACTTGCTTATCTCTGCCCTTTCCAATTTAAGTGCCCCCAAACCCCAGGCTACGATTAGCTATGACCTAAACAAATTCTTACTGAGCTAACCACAAGCTATGAAGTATTGATATCGGCAACACTGGAGGTGCCCGTTAAGTCACCCAGTGAGTCATAAGCAGCTAGGTACAGCCTATTGATGAAACAAATTCTCCTCAAATAAACTAGAAAGGGTCGCTTAGTTAAGGACGATTTGCTTTCCTGGAAGTTTTATGGTTACATCAAACAGATAATTAAGTTATAGTAATATCTACCTCCAACTCTGATCAAATAAATGTAATATCATAAGCAACACCTTCTAAATGAAATATAAATAGTGATGCTGGTAGAGGTTTTTTCCCCTCAGGTGATCCAAAGTGTACAGAATATGTCCAAGAGTCCTTTCTTTTTCATTAAAATCTTTTATACAGTAACAAAAAATAAGAAACGAATGCTACTTCCCCAAACCTCCTATTAGAAGGAAGAAGGTAGAAAAACAGACCAATCCCTACTTCCTGGCAGTGTATAAGGCACTTTGGTAAAGGCAAATAACTCTGTTTAGGAAAGGATCCTAACCTATTTGAAGAACTAGAGTTACCGGCAGCTGTACAGCATTTAGGGTCAAAGACTGGAGAGAAAATCTCAAGTTGTGAGTTAGATATAAAGACTTCCTTCACTATACCTTTTACTAAATATTAAGTCAAACTGAGTATTTCTGCCCAAACTCTTTTAAGTCTCCAAGTGTAAGAAAGCACTACGTAGGCAGCACCCCACAAATTCACCACGGCCTAACAGCTTGCTTACCTGGAAGAAGTATGACTGTAAGGGCTGATCTTTATTTTCTTCATCCACATACAGTCCTCCCACCACGTAGACCTGATTTTGCTGGGTAACAATACTGGAATGATTTCTGGGGATCTGCTCTGCCAGGGCAGTAAGGTAACATTCGTTTTCCGTGGGGTCGTAAGCCACAGCTGCTGTGTCATTGACCAGGAGGATGAGATCTTTAACGAACATGCCATGTCTGGGAATATCATTCAGGTAACCAGGAAGTAAGTCTTCGTCACCAACATCGCCATTCACCTCGCCTGTCCCTGACTTCTCTGCATTTTTGTTAGGTTCCGGGAGTTTGCCTGCGAAAGCATCTTTTAGAACTTTGATTTTTTTCTGGACTTCTGGGTTGCTTTTAATTATGTCATCCTTCTCGACATGATCTTTGAAGTATTTTTCCGTCATCAGGCGAAAACGAATACAATCAAACACTTCACTGAGATTTTTCGCCCTGTTCTCTTTGTCTGTCCGCACCCATTTCATCACTGCCTCAAACACTACTTCCTCCTTTTCGACATTGAGACTGTCGTTTGAAATGACCGAGATCAGTTCCTGCGGAGACAGCTGCATGAAGTCTTCCTCCTTACAAATCTGCACAAAGCGATCTGACACAAACTCCCGGGCAGAAATGGCGAGTCTCGGGCAGTCAAGAAGAAGCCCCAATCTTAGGATGGCCAGACAGTTACCGGGAGCCAGTCTTTTCTGAAGGTAAGACACACACACGGTGAAGACTGAGGGGATCTGGAAGCGGCTGGACAGGGCGAAGATGTCTTGCACATTTCCGTCATTGAGATCGATACTGGCAGAGTAGAGGTATTTGATGATCAAATCCAGGATAGCAGGATCCACGTTATCTAGCACTACCTCCTTTTTTTTCTCCTCCTCAATTTCAGACAAGAAATACTCACGGAAGTAAGGACTACAAGCAGACAGTATCAGTCTGTGGCAAGGAAGACTTTTGTCACCTGCTTTTAAGGTGCAATCGATGAATTTTTTCTCTTCCAGGAGATCTTTTAGACCATCCTGAAGAAGGGTGGATTGGTAAAGCCGGAGTTCCTCTGCAAGCTCCCGCTGGGAATCCATTCTGTGAGGAACCTGGGTAAGGAAGGGGACACTGAGGGTCTTCGCTCCTTGCTGCACACAGGTCTAGCTGTAAAAAGGCGGATCGGTGTGCTCTGCGCGGCCTGAAGCCTCTGCAATTTAATCCCGCCGGCTAAATATAGAGTCCAGCTCTAAGGACGGGAATTTAGGAGAGCTGGTTTGAAAGGAGACGTGCTCAGCTGTCTGAGATTGAAGGTAACAACTGGGACTTCTGGTCACTAAGGAAACTGCTAAGAAACAAGGCATTCAGGTGAAGTGGAAGGCTTTGAAATACAGAAAGCCTTGGAATATATGTTAATAAAGGGCATCCACAAGAAAGTGCTTACTGAAATAACAGAAAAATGGATCATAAAAATGAGTCACTCCTCTAAAAATGGCCTAGTGGCAAGCTACTTGGCTGTCTGAATTAATGATGCCAAGGTCAAGAATATGAGGTGAGTTCATTTCAATTCTCATAAGCTATGAGTCCAATGGTTTAAAATGTTAAAGCGCATGTTATTTTCTACTCAGAATTTTCTTTTTCAAGGAGGAAACATAAAGATGTTTATGTACTTAACAGTTTTATATAACCTTTTAAATGATACCTCCATCATAACTGAAATAACAAATGCAGAGAAACTTAATTTTCTAAAATATTCTAAATTATCTTTATTTTTAGGTAGGAAAACTATAATTACTACTGAATTATCAAATTCATTCACACTCTGTCTTGCCATACAAGGGCTATGAAGGGACAAACAATAATACAAAAAAGTAAAATAATAATAGTTAAGTCTTTGGGGAAAGAAAAGACCTATGTACCTATGACTACTGGGAATATTTTGTAACTTTAAAGGCTAAAAGGTCCTTTCATGAAATAAAAAGTTAAAAAATAGAACCGATGCAACCCTCTGAGAAAAATGTTATCCTCAGAGAGAGTAAAATCAGCCTGTGCTGCTGCATCATCTAATATATATATGTACATATGTATTATATATATTTATATATAATTTAGAAAGCAGGCCTTGTTTAAGAAACATGATATTGAAGTCTACTTTATGGTGCTGATGACAATGGAACACTATACGGAATGAAGATGTGCTTTAAAGAACTCAGCCAGGCGTTGTGGCACACACCTGTAATCCCAGCACCTGTGAGGTGGAGTAGGAAAATGACCAACTGCATAGTGAACTCAAGGCCAGCCTGGGCTATGTGAGCCCCCGTCACCTCTCCCAAGGGCCCCTTCACTTCTATCTAGATGGTATTGTAGACTTCTTCCATCAAGTCCTTTACTCCACAATCATGATCACATTCTGAACTCAATAGAGCTACAGAGATGCTACAGTTCCAAGGGCTGGTGTTCTTAAATGTGCCCCCCAACGTAAGCTCAGTGAAGACCCAACTTTGGTGTTGTAGGTCTGTGTAGTCAGTCTATCCAGTCCCCAGGCCTCATGGATGCTCCATGAGTATTTGTTGAAGGAGCAAACACTCCCAAATCAGGGACTTGCGTTATTTTCAAGCTTTACGGTGTCTCTCCGTCAAGGGCCTCTTCTTTTCGTTTACCCCACAGTGAGTGGGTGGCACTGCCAGCTGCTACAGTGACGACAGCTGACAGGGAGAGCTCAGTGGTTCTTGTTCCATTTATAGATGTCATTAAAGGTGTGACCACTCTGGACAGGGCTGACAGCTGCTCCCCTTGTTTAAACAACAAATGATTCATTTCTCTCCACATGTAACACCTAACATTTGAAAAGATCAGTGAGTCAGCTGCAAACACCAGGGTGTGACGTGTGAGGTGAGTCCTTGCTTGTGGACCACTTTATAGTCTCGCTTGCTTGAACGGCAGTGAATGATGTTTATGGAAGCATTTTATTGTGATCTCTAAATAGTGGTTATTATGACTCCATCCCTTAAGCATGGAGAAATCTTTTTCCATTTACATGAACAAACCCATACGTAGTATTTTTTTCAGCAATTTTTAATGAATCAGGGCAGCACTAGGTTGTACTGTGTATTTGTCTATGATTGTACATATTATTACGTCTTATTTTAAATGGATTTGTGTTCATTCCTTTCTCACTAATGACAAAGGGTGCCTTTGGCCAAGTACAATTATTTGTTGAAAGATTCCATAAATTTTCTTTAGACTGCCACTGTAGCCAAAACAACTGAATGATGTCAGTGAGGTCCAAAAAACGTTATCTGAGAAATCTTCAAGGGAGCCTCAATGAATACAAATAAGGAGATAGTCAATGAGTGGACAACATGATTTCCTTATAAAGCAAATGCATTCTTGTCAAAACCATCATAATACTATTTACAGACTAGCATTCTGTAGCTAAAATCATTAGTTTTTACAAAAATAAGCCCCTAAAAATGATGTGTTTAAGAATTGCAATTTGGGATGGCTCAGGCAGATCTTTGTAAGTTCAAGGCCAGCCTGGTCTACATAGTAAGTTCTGGGACAGCCAGAGCTGCAGAGTGAGACCCTGTCTCAAAAGCAAACAAACAGAACTGTAATTTGTATTAGAGTCTTACATTTACAGTCCTGTGATAATATATTTAAACAAGACTTGTAGTTAAGAAGTATTTGGTTATTTCTTGAGCTGGGCAGTGGTGGCACACACCTTTAATCCCAGTGCTCCAGAGGCAGAGGCAGGCGAATCTCTGTGAGTTCAAGGCCAGCCTGGTCTACAGAGTGAGTTCCAGGACAGCCAGGACTACACAGAGAAACCCTGTCTCAAAAAAATATAAAATATAAAATAAAATAAAATAATAAAAGAAGTATTTGGTTATTTCTTAAGAATGATTTTTTAAAAATAATACTTTCAAAACATTAAGTGGTGCTGAATAAAATCTTTATTAAATCCAACATGATATAGTCACTTAATATCTGTAAAGTGCTATTTTACAAGTATTAGGTACAATATAAACATTTACAAACCAGGTACATTTCAGTTACAATTTTGAATATAATTTTTAGAAAACTGCCAGTTTTCTAAAATTAAGAAATTTTTCCTTAGTTATTAAAAGCTTTTCTTAAAATATAAAATATAAAAGCTATACTGTAAAAACTATTCCATGCCTAGAGTAGGCAAGTGGTGTCTTTCAATCTTGAGATATATTTAAATAGAACTCCAGCTCAACTCATCACTTCCCAAAGTCCCTGCAGTGTGAAGCCATCCTTCAGTTTCTCTATTGCAAGCCCCAGCTCTTCTGAAAACACAGGTTCTCGGTCTTGTTGCTTTGGGGAAGGCAAGAAGATGAGGTGGGAATGGAAGATGGGCAAGGAAGAGGAAAAACAAGAAATGTTTCGCTAAGTTAGTGACTGCTAGATGCTGCAATATTGAAACTCAAAAAAACAAAACAGTAACAACAAAAACTGTAGGTAAAATGTCCTTACCTTATTTCCATCAGCAAAATAAGCCTGTAAGATAGGGAAAATGATATTTCACATGCTTCATACAAACTAAATCAGGGTCTAATTTTCAGAAAGATTTGGTAACTAAGTCTAGTTCACATTTGGTTACTGTGCATCTAATAGTTCCTCTACCTACATCGATGCCATCAACACATTTCTTACGGTGGTACAGGCCCTTAATCCTGGCACTCGGGGAGGCAGATGCAGGTTAGAACTGTCTGAGTGAGAAGCCAGACAGTGAGACCCTGTCTTTAAAACAGAACAACAAACATTTTACACTTCTTGTGCCAGTATTAATGTCTGTAAGAGTTGTGCTTCACGCTCTAAGCAAACAGGCTTTATAACTGATGTACCACACTGTTCGCTTGAAAGTAAACAATGTTTTTGGAGCTTTAAGATGACTTCTCTGCTTCTGCTTTAGCAGATGGTAGCACAGGGGCTGCAGAGATGGCTCAGCAGTTAAGAGCATTGGCTGCTCTTCCAGAGGACCCAGGTTCAATTCCCAGCACCTACATGGCAGCTCACAACTGTCTGTAACTCCAGTTCCAGGGGACCTGACACTCACAGCAAAACATGAATGCACATAAAAACAAACAAACAAAAACCCCAAAACAATTCCCAGCATCCACATGGCACCTTTGTAATCCAGCTCCAAGTGATCTGACACCCTCACACAGACATACATGCAGACAGAACACCAATGCACATAAAAATAAAAAGAAATAAATCATTAAAAAAAAAAAAAAAAAAACCAAGGTAATCACCTAGAACTGGGCATGGTGGCACATGCCTTTAATCCCACCCAGCACTCTGGAGGCAGAGGCAGGCAGATCTGAGTTGAAGGCCAGCCTGGTCTACAGAGTGAGTTCCAGGACAATCAGGGCTACCCAGAGAAACCCTGACTCAAAAAATAAAAATAAAAAAATAAAAAAAACAAAGAAACAACAATAAAATCAACCAAACAACCAAACAAAAAAGTGTGGTGGCTGAAATCCCAGCACATGAATTTGGAGGCATCAAGGAGGGTCAAGAGTTCAAGGCCAGGGACTGGAGAAATGGCTCAGCAGCGAAGAGCATGTAGTTTAATTCCCAACTCACAGCAGCCGGCTCGAGACCATCTCTAACTCCAGCTGCGGTGGATGTGAGGCCTCTGGCCTCCATGGGTACCTGCACTTATGTGCACATACTAATACACAAACAATTCAATGTAAAATAAATCACAACAACAACAAAAAAACACAACAAAACAAAAAGAGACAACCAACCCACCAATCCACCGAGGAACAAACCAAACCAAAGGAGCACTTCAGTGTGTCAGTATACAGTTTGAGGGTGGTTCATGCCAATTTCACATCTTTATTTGAAACCATTCATTGCTGGAAGGAAGGTATGTGTTATGGTCAGATTCCTAAGACTGTAGGATATGAAAATATTAGAAAGCATTACTTTATTTTTTTCTTTGAAACAGGGTCTCTCACTAAGTGGCCTTGAACTCAAAGAGATCCACCTGCCTCCACCTCCTGAGTGCTGGGGTTAAAAGCTTGTACTAACACACCCAGCTCATTGGCTAATTAAGAAATGCCTATTTGGAAACAGGGAAGCATATTGCTCAAATACATATCTTTCTAAAATAATGTAAATTAAAGAAAAAAATCATTTTATAAAGATGAATTCTGTAAAGACTTTAAATTATCATAAATCAAATCCTCTAAATAACTGTTCTCAAATTATTTCCTAGGTTGGGAATTTAAAAGTATTCTCACAAAAGAAATTCTCTCACTTTAATAAATTTCCCTCAAACTCACATTGTCTCAAGTTTTACAACAGCTACACCATTATTAATGAGACATGACTCAGACACACATCACAGAACCTCTACTAGCTCTTTCTGGCGCTCACCACAAAAGCATCCGTGTGATCATCGGAGTCTATTTCCACATCATCTGGAACCTGTTCAACCGTCAGAGCTTCAAGGGGCTGTGGCTGAAAATTAAGGTGTCAGAGTCAATATGGAACAAGTTCTTCTAGAAAAATCTACGGTGAGAACTGCAGATACTTGTAAAGTCACTCTGGAATTCATATTCTATATTAAAACTAATGAGTTGTAAAAGTTAAATGTAAGGTTTTAAACCAAGTCAACATCAAAATAATTAAAACAGAAAGGTGTACATATTTAGTGTATTTAGAGAATTTGAGCCCGAGTTTCTCTGTGTAACAGTCCTGGCTGTCCTAGAATCTACTTTGAAGACCAGGCTGGCCTTGAACTCACAGAGATCCTCCTCTGCCTCCTCAGTGCTGGGGTTAAAGGCGTGCGCCACCATCGCCCCACTTTTAATTTTTGAGATATTCTTAAAAGGAAAATCTTATCTCAACTACTTCTCTTTCAGACAGAAAAGGGCTGGTTAGAGAAGGCCACCCTGAAGAACTTAGAAGGCATCTGAGAAGTCAGAGTGGGTGACCATGGCTAGTTACTGGTGAGAGCTAGGGTCAAAGAGAGGAGAGAAGAAAGGAAAGCAAGAGAGGACAAGTGGAACGCTACCAACGTCTCCTGTGTGCCCTGCATTATGTACACGCAGCTGTGAGCAGGGTCTGTACACGTAACTGTGAGAAGTGAAGCTAGGTGCCTGGGACCGAAAGTCGGGTTCCAGACTTGCTGACTTTACACCATTCCTCACGCAGGAGCAGCGATCACAATCTGAATGGAAAGGGAGGTATAGGTGTAGGGAAGACTGGGAGAATCAAATTGATATGCAAGATACTGGAGAACATGAAGGAAAGCCCCAAGATTTTGAGCACAGCTACCATTGGCAATACTAGAAATAAGAAACATGCCAAGGCTACTGTCATTTAGCAATGTCCTGTTTGAGGTCTGATACATCTTACTGACTTGGATAATGAAATTATGAGATAACTTATGAAATAAGGAATTCAGTTCTGGGGGGCTGGGGAGACGGCTCAGTGGTTGAGAACCACTGCTGCTCTTTCCAAGGCCTGAGTCTAGTCCTCACTCCAGTGGGCTCACAACCACCGCTAACTCCAGCTCCAGGGGGTCCAACGCTCTCTTTTGGGCTCTGAAGGCACCTGCACACACAAGCATATACCCACACATAAATCATTCATTTGGATTGCCCGATGTAGATCAGCTGCCCTGGAAGTTGCTACGTAAACTATGCTGGCCTCTGACACAGTTTCAGCCTCCTCAGTGCTGGGGTTAAAGGTATACACCCTGCATATAATAAAATAATTTTTAAAAATTAAAAGAAATTCAGTATCAGGCCAGCAATCTCTCTCCATGGCTTGTTGCCAAGCCTGATGTCCTGAGTTTGATCCCAGATCCCCAGATCCTTTGTAGGAGAACCAACTCCCAAAAGTTGTCCTTGGACTTCTACACACATATACATACATGCACATACACAAATAATGCAAAACATTCCAATAATTAAAATGTATATTTCTATTATTTGAGATGCTTATCTATGTGACAATATTCAAGAGTATTTAGAAATAAGATAAGTTGACAGTGTTAGGATCAGAAAAGTAGATGTATAAGGCATCCAGAAACATCTAAGTTAAAGAATCTGGAGGGGCTGGAGATGGCTCAGCAGGTAAAGACATGGGCTGACAAGCATGATGAGCTGTCCCTGCACCCTCGTGATAGGAGAGAATGGATTCCTGAAAGTTGTCCTCTGACCTCCACACACGTGCCATAGAACACATCCGTGAAATAAATAAAAACCAAAGATGACGCCGCTGGAGTAGCCAATGGTATTCCTGAGGAATATGCAGAGAAGGAAGAGTGAAAGGCGGAACGCCTCAGTGAAGTCAGAGGACATGAATAATCCCCACTGCCCAGCCTGCTTCCTGGTCCTCTCTGGCTCCACACCGTAGTTGAGCGCAGAAGCAGATGGAAGAGGTAGTGGTTGGGGTATGGTCCAGCAGTCTGAATGCCAGCAAGGGCACTGAGGAGAGTGGATAGGGCTAGACACCGACATTAGGGTGCACACTGGGGCCCCAGCAAAGGGCAGAGATCAAGGGAACCTGTGATGGAGTGGTCAGTGATGGGACTGAAACGGGAAGCCAGTGGTAGAGCCTGGGGCAAGGGGACCAGTGTAGACAGGATGCTAGTGACAGATCAGATGATGAGGGACAGATGATCAGACCACAAGAAAGCTGATGCGCCTGGAGAGCAGGGATTGGAACCAAACCAGAACAGATGAGGAAGACACGACACTCAAAACATCTCAAAACTAGCTGGGCACAGTTGTGTGTGTCTGAGGTAGCAGCAGTCTAGATGCTGAGTCTAAGGTAAGGCAGGAGCTCCAAGACCAGCGTGGCCAAAAACCCCTAGCTCAAAACCAAGTCTACGGCCAGATAGCAAACACACCGACACCCGTAACATTTCTCCAACCTAGCATGTCAGAGGCACTGACCAACAGGAAGGGAGATGGGCCACACTGATGGAGCAGATTCTGGATTTGCTGCATGGAGGGACAGTGGGGAACAGGATGGTGTCCACGAGGCCTTTATTGTCCAAGCTAATGCGGCTGTGGGAGGCTAAACCTAAAGCAGATAGAATGACCAACTCAAATCTGCCTGCATCAGAGGAGGCGTGTGCATGGACGCTTTCCTGAATAGGCTGCTCACCTAGGCTGGGGAAGAGGAATGACCAGAGAAGCAATCAGTCAGAAGGCAGTACTAGTCACCAATTACAGATGGCCAGTCTGAGGCCATGCTCACTTGACCCAGGTCTACATATATGTTTAAAGTTTGTACACAGTGAGTTTATTTTTGGATTTCATGGGTAGTAGGGAAGCAATTCAGCAAACTCTATATCCATGATATTGAACAAATTACCTTCTCTTCCATTTCATAATTCACTCCAAATATCGGGCTGGCAGAATAGACTTTGTGAAGTGAGTTGATCTCCTTAACTGATTCCTGTAGTTTTTCCACAGGGTCTATTTTAAAGCCAAGAACATATCCTCCACTCTGTAAGAAAAAATAATGAAAACAAAAGCCCAGTCTGAGGGGCAATACCTACAGGATGAGATGAATGCAGGCTAACTGTCCTTGTTCTGGAGGATCCCAGCTAAGCTGCTCTAAAGAAATTAAACTCTGGGCTCTGAAAATTCCAAACACAAGAACAGAAGAGTATAGGAGCCTCCAGGGAGTCAGGGAAGAGTTGCCAGCGGCAGTAACCCATGAGGTCTTCTGACTTCCCTCCCTGAACCCCTGCCTCCCCTCATGCTCCCTGGACATATTCAGGTTGCACATAATTTCATCTTTAAACTCAAGCTCATCTTCCTGGATGAAAAATATGCACAGTGGAGTGTGATGGCCAAAGGAACTGAGGTGTTTGTTTGTTTGTTTGTTTGTTTGTTTGTTTGGACTAGGTCTTGAGAAGGAATAGACTATCCATTAAAAAACGGTCCGTTTGAAGTTATCTCCTTGAAGGATTTGCAAAGCATCTGGACTATGATTGACTGCAGGCTGGTAGAAAGAGTATGTTTTTAAAGTAGCATACTATAAAAGGTAAGAGCATATTTGTGTTAAAAGCACATACTTTTTGGGTTCAGTTCTGGATCAACAACTAATATTGGACAATATTCTTTCCTTACTCTTTCTAAGCCCCATTTTTAGCAAACCATGAAATGGTTCTCAAGTGGTTGTATTAACAGGATAAAGTATGTCTTGTTGGTACAGTCCCTGGGATGCAGTAACAGGCCACAGGAAAGAGAGAGTGGGCATTCATTTTGAAATTTAGGAGTGATTTTGTAACTCGCCCCTTGTCGAGTACGCTGTGAGAGAGCGGGCCTGGGGTAACCTCGGATACCTCACTAAGAACTGATCTGGAGGCGTGGCTGCACATGCCTGCTGTCTCAGCATCCTGGAGGCAGAGGCAGGTGGATCACAAGCTCAGGGCCAGCCTGGTCTACACAGAGTTCAAGACCATAAGCAAAGTACTTTAAAAGTCCCAAAGGGACTTCTGTAAAAACACAGCATAATGGGCACACAGCAGTTTATAATTAGATACTGCTCAGTCTGTGAGAACATAAAGTCTCAGAGGATATGTGCTTCTCTACATACCCAGAGCAAGTATGAGTCAGATAAGCCTGGGATGAAAATACAGTCCCATCCCTACCAGCTCAAGATTCTGGGGAATGTGCCTAACCCCTCCAGGCCCCAGTATCCTGGTCTGTAAGAGGGGGAAACAGCCATTTCATGGAGTTATTAGATTGAGATAAAGTATGAACTATGTTGACCTAGTATAGTGATTTCCCTCACAATTTTATTAATACAATGATGATAATGATTTTATCTGTCTAACGAGCAAACCGACACAGGGTAACACGATGCCCACACCTACAATCCTAGCTAGCACTTAGGAGGCTGAGGCAGGAGGCTCCTGAGTTTCTGGTCACAAACACATAGGAAGGATTTTTTCCTATGGAGACAGGTACTATAAGACTTCAAACACTTCATAGATCTTCATGTTATTGCTGAAACTCTTGCACGTCAACTGGTTACTATAAAATAACTAAAAACCTAGACACATTGTTAAAATTTTATCAGTTTAATAAAAATACAAAATATCTTACCTGCTGAGAGCTTTCTATGACAAGAGCCAAACCAAATTTTGAATCTCTGATCTTTATTGAACGCTATATAAAGTGAAGAAGAAAAAACACACATTTTTATTATCTGATGGTAGTAACTCTTCAATACACATTTTAATTATGTAATGTGCTGTAGCCTGGCTTTTGAAGAACAGTCTCATACCTCAGGCAGGCCCGAAACTAACCATGAAGCCGAGGCTGGCCTTGAACTCTGGGAAATCCTCCTGTCTTAGCCTCTTGAGTGTTAGGACTATAGGTGTGAGCCACCACATCCACTTTTACCGAAGAACTACTCTTCACAGTCTGAACGACAGAAGTCCCCCTCTACCCTCTTCCCGCAGGAATCAGTAAACGACAAGACTCGGACTGAAGAGAGATAGCAAATGACAAAGCCACACACAGAAGACAAATATCCAGAGCCATCCGATTCAGCTATCCCTGACTCGCGTGATCAATGGGTCTTCTGAAGATTTTACACAAAAGGCCGATGATTTTCAGTTTTGAGGAGCCAGTGTCTTTCGGGGCTCCTGAATCAAGATTATGATATGCGCACCACTCTGTTTTCACACCTTGCCCTGGTCAGTTTTTTGTCAAATTGACAAAAGTTAGGGTCATCTGGGAGGAGATCACCTGAACTGGGAAAATGCCCCCAGCAGACTGGCCTGCTGGCAAACCTGTATGGCATTTCTGTAATCCATGATTGGTATGAGGGCCCTGTTCACCTGGGTGGTGCTACCTCAGGGCAGGTGGTCCTGGGTTCTACAAGCAATCAAGCTGAGCAAGCCATGAGGGTGCTAGCCAGTAAGCAGCATCCCCCGTGGCCTTTGTATCAGTGCCGGGTTCCTGTCTTGTTTGAGTTCCTGCCCTCGCTTCCCCCAGTGATGGACTGTGCTGTAGAATCATAAGTGAAAACAAGCCCTTTCCCCCCAAAGCTGATTTTGGCCAGGGTGTTTATCACAGCAACAGAAACACTCACACGGAATTTGTGTGAGCCCATGGGGTGCTGTATGACCATGTGTTTTGGGGAGGATTGTGATGGCATTTGAACTTCGGGCTAGAAAAGCCAGTAAGTGCTCAAAGCCTAGTAGTGAGTTGTTTCCTGGGGTGCAAATGAAGTGTAGCCGAAATAAATCCTTTGCTCCCTACATTGCTTTGGTCATAGTGTTTCAACACAGTAATAGAAAACTAAAACAAACATCGATCTCCACCTGTCTAACTAGGTGACACAGGCTGGTCAGACCGGGCACTCAATGCCCGCCCCCCCCCTTCCCCCGTCTCTCTCTCTCACACACACACACACACACACACACAGAGCTTGGCCCTGTCGAGTAGAGTAATGGCTGAAGCTGGAGCTGAAGTTGGAGTATGACTACCACAGTGACAAGCTGTGATATATCATATTGCAAGCTGTTTGGGTCAGGCTGAATTCATTCCAGAGGCCACATTTGGCAACTCTATTCTTAAATAACAAAAAGTATTCTATTTGAAGAACAGAAAGCACAAGGTTGTTTACTACTCAGTAAGTATTCAGCATGACAGGGGTCAGGCTAGGTTAGCCACATAAATGAACACAGAGGGAGCAGCAACAGACACTGTGCATGGTGGCATCCTACTGTAACCCCAACTCCTGGGTGGGCACAGCAAGAGGAGTGCTGTGAATCTGAGGCCCAGCCTGGGCTACATGGTGAGTTCATCAGTCAGCACTATAGAGACTCTGCCTCAAAAAAAATCTCAAACTAAACAAAACCAAGCGATAAACAATATACAAACATCAATTTATCAAACACCCATGTAGACTACCACACCTTCCCAGCCTTGATGACAAATTATGTCTGGGGGAGTCCTTGCCTAGTTTGTACAAGGCCCTAGGTTTGATCTCCAGTACACAGACAAAAGAAATGACCATATTTCTTTAGACTTCCTTCCTATCAAACTATGTATGATTATCCATTTAATGGGTTGCTTCCTCAGCCAGAAGGACGGCTCTGCACCAGCAGGGGCCGTGCGTTGGTTCAACGTCTTGACTGTTGATCATGGAGCACAAAGTGATACTGTTTTCGCAGGGCTTCTACTGCTGTGATAAAACACCATGACCGAAAGCAACCTTGGGAGGAAAGGGTTGATTTCAGCTTATGTGTCCTAACCACAGTCCATCGTGAAGGGAAGTCACGGCAGGAGCTCAAGGCAGGACTGAAGCAAGGCCAAGGTGGATTGCTGCTTACTGGCTTACTCCTTTTTACTAATGTTTATTTACACGTATGATCATGTATCTGTGTGTATGCCACGCATGTGTCTCTAGAGGGTGGCGGATCCCCTGGTGTTGGAGTAACAGGAGGATGTGAGCTATCTGATATCGGGGCTAAGAATTGAACTGGGGTCCCCTGAAAGTGCAGCAACCACTCTTCACTACTGACCCACCTCTCAGCCTCTTGGGGAGCTGTTTCTTTCTTTCAGTGTTGGGGACTGAACCAGGGTTTTGAACATAATAGCAAAACGCTCTATCAGTGAGTTACATCCCTAGTCCTTCAGTCCTTTTTCTTATCTGTTTTTGAAACATGGTCTTACTATGCCACCTTGGCTGGTCTGGAACTTGCTATGTAGACCATGCTGGCCTCGAACTTACAGAGATCCAAGTGCCTCTACCTCCTAGAGCTTGGAGACAAGAGAGAGAGAGAGAGAGAGAGAGAGAGAGAGAGAGAGAGAGAGAGAGAGAGAGACAGAGACAGAGACAGAGACAGAGAGACAGAGACAGAGGTGGGAGAGAGAAAGAGAGAGAGAGAGAGAGCCCACCACACCTTGTGCATATTACTCTCTTAATAGCAAGTTGAGTGGCAGAATCCTTGCCCAGCATATGCAAGGGTCAATTCCTAGTTCCACAAAAGCAAAACAAAACAAAACAAAAACCCCCCAGCAAGTTGATAACTACTATTAATTTTTTAAAAGACAAACAGTCTGGCTATGTAGCCAAGGCTGGCTGGACTAGAACTTGCTATGTATACTAGGCCTGAACTTGTGGAAATCCTGTCTTTGTTGCTCTAGTATTTGATTTCAAAGTATCTACTATGCTTAACTTATAACTACACTGTCTTTTCTCTGTTAAAATAATAAAATCAATATTTTGAAGCTATGCTTTTATTTACTTACTTTTAAGTGTATTTTAAAAATTATATTTATTTACTTTATTTATTTGGGAGGGACACATATGTATGCCAAAGTGTGTCTGAGTATGGAGGTCAGAGAACAACCTTTAGAGTCGGTTGGCCTTCCGCCACGTGGGTCACAGGGAATAAACTCAGGTTTGGTGGCCCCAAAAGTATGCTTTAGTTAGTAGAATATAAAAAGGAAAAAACCTGGAACGCACACAAACCCAAACATGCAGTGATTAACCGTGGGACTGTTCTAGATCGAAAGGATGTCACTGAATGCACAGACTTACGATTTGCAGATACGGGATGCTGACATTAAAACTGTCATTCATATTCGCATGCCACACAATCCTCACATTGGTAATAAAAAAAGTTCCTAAATTTCCCTGCAGAAGAGAGAGAGAGAGAGAGGTCAATCCATGATTGCTTGCTTGTATTCCCAATCTCTTTATGAGACCCAGAATAATTCTGATTATCACAGCAGTAGATTAACATGAGAACTGAGTATTATGGAGTACCACTGACTCTACTGTTTACAGGCTAGCACAATCAGAGGACTGAACGTCTAGACCCGGATGGAGTCATTAAGCAATAGGACACCGGTACAGTTAAAACATTAAAGTTAGCATATTTGTCTGAGGACAAAGTTCTTTTTAAATTTTTAAAAATTTAGCATGTGCGCGTGCGTGCGTGCGTGCGTGCGTGCGTGCGTGCGTGCGTGCGCATACAGGTGCATATGAGTGGAATTCACAGGACAACTCTCTGGAGTGAGTTTTCTCTGGCCACCTTATGGGATCTGGGAACCAGACTCAGGCTGTCAAGGCTGCATGCAAGCATCTCTACCCACTGAACCATTTCACCGACCCACAAAACTCTACCTGGTGTATTTTGTCAAATGTAAAATGGGGGTTTGAATAAATAACCCATTTTTTGGCTGTTTTTTTTTTCTTTTAAATACCTTAGCTAGGTAGTGGTGGCGCACACCTTTAATCCTAGCACTTGGGAGGCAGAGGCAGGCAGATCTCTGAGTTCGAGGCCAGCTTGGTCTATAGAGTGGTAAGTTGGCTACACAGGGAAACTCTGTCTTGAAAAAAAATGAATCAAACAAACAAAACAAATGAAAAACCCAACTCCCCTCCCCAACAAAAAGGCTTTTAATATAGTTCTTGATGCATAGCATTTTTTAAGTATTAGATCTTTCTATACTTATTATTCAAAACTTGAGATATGCCTAAGCAAAGGAGTTATGGTAACTGAGAATAAAACCACGCTATAACCCCTATCAACCTATCAGAGACATCTGACGACTCTTTAATACTGACTACATCAAAACTACAGCCAGCCGGGGAGCGGTGGCGGTGATGCACATCTTTAATCCCAGCACTCAAGGGGCAGAGGCGGCGGTGACGCACATCTTTAATCCCAGCACTCAAGGGGCAGAGGCAAGCAGATCTCAGTGAGTTCCAGGCCAGCCTGGTCTACAAAGAGAGTTCCAGGACAGCCAAGACTGTTACATGGAAAAACCCTGTCTCGAAAAACCAAACCAAAACAAACCTATCTCAAAAAAACAAAAACAAAAACACCCCCCCCCGAAAAAAAAAGGAAAAAACAAAACAAAACCAAAAACTACAGCCAGATATGGTAATTCACCCCATAATCTCAGGACTTGGGATGCTAAGGCAGGAAGACCAGGAGTTTAGGGCCAACCTGGGCTACGCGGTGAGACCTTGTCTCAAAAGACAAAACTTGGGGCTGGGGAGATGGCTCAGTGGGTAAGAGCTCGAGTTGCTCTTTCAGTGGACCCAGGTTCAATTCCAGTATCCACAAGGCAGCTCACAACAGTCTGTAACTCCAGCACCAGGCATCCAGTAACCTCTATCTTCTGGCCTCTATGGGCACCAGGCACACATGTGGTATAAAGATATAAACTCAGGCAAGATACCTATACACATAAGATAAAATAAACAGCACCACCAACAAAAACAATGAAACATTTTTAGAAATTACATTTACCTATTTTGAGGCAGGCTCTCATTTTGTAGCTCTGGCTGGCCTGGAACTCATGGGTAGACAAGGTTGGTTTTAAACCCACCGAGAACTGCTGTATCTGCCTCCTGAGTGCTGGAGGCAGGCTGTGGCCACCATGCCACACCCATCTTTAACTATATCTGTGTGGATATGTACATGTGGGTGATAGCATCCACGGAGACCAGAGGCATTACATCTCCCTGGAGCTAGTGGCTGTGAGTTAGTGGGTTCTGAAGCCCAGTACTCAGCTGCAGAAGTTGAGTTCTAGGGCAGACTGGATTATATAATAAGGCCCTGTCCCAAAGCTAAGCACACACACACAGGATAAAAGGTCTCAGTGGAGCTGCGTGCATGCTTGTTAAACCTGCAACCCAGAAAGCAGAACTAGGAAGGTTCTCCACAAATCCTCGGCCAGCCTGCTCTACATGGTGAGTGCCAGGCCAGCCAGGGACATAACAAGACCCCGACTCAGGGGGATACTTCTATCTGTCCTCTTCACATCATGGTTTGCCTCTACCAGTGTGGTATGAAGAACAGTGTGTCGTGGTGTGTGGGCAAGTGCGGCTCCGTGTTTCTCACCTATGGAAAAGTGGACTGAACTAGAGGCCCACTACACTTCTTGGTTCTGTATAGAACAGAAGTTGATGTAAAGGGCACAAGGCCATGAAAATCAGAATATAACTTCATATCTAAAGCTGTAATTTATCCAGATCTCTAATGCTAGTTTTAACAATTACACAAACCCAATGATGAGTGGGAAATGCTGTGGAAACAGTCCCAAAAGACTCATTACTTTCCACGGTACCTGGTCGCTGGATAAATTCCATACACCGTTGATCTTATCATACACATGCTCTTGTGGTAATAACCTCAGCTGCTTGTTTTGAATGACTGCACTTCTCAGTTTAAAATCACGGTACATTTTAGAAGTTTCATATGCTCTATGGAAAAGAATAAAACAAAGACCAATCAATGCAAACAGAAACTGTGCGTCAGGCTATGTTTACTCATCATCTACTGCTACATAGCTGTTAGAGCTTATGGACATCACTCAGCTGTGGTGAACTCAAACACTCCTCAGCGGTTGTGAGAGCACAAGCCTATAATCTCATCACCTGGGAAGCTGAGGCAGGAGAATTGCTGACAGTTTTGAGGCCATCCTGGACAACATAATGAGTTCTAGGCCAGCCTGGGCTATAGAGTGAGACCACTTCAAAAAACAAACCAAAACCCCAAAGAACAAAAAAAAAAAAAGATAGTTTTCAGTAAGGATGGGTAACTCTAGTTTTCCGTCATGGCAGCAGAACGCTGACATCTTTACTGTGACATCCGTTCCTTCATCCCCACTGCTAGTCCCTGTTAGCAGTACTTTGACACAGGTCCATTACTCTGTTCACTACAGCCTGAAAACATTATGCTTGCATCCATCCATGCATAGAAAACTGTGTCGATGCTAAAGGGATCTAGGGCAGAGAGGGAGAGGGAGGAAAAACGAAACCCGGTTTCCCTTTCGCTAGGATTCTGTTACGTTAGTAAGCAGTAGGGTTTGCCTTCTGTCTGTAAATGTTAATTTCCTTTCGTCCATTATCTTCAAGACATAATCAGTAGGAGAATGGAACTGCTCACACTATTCATTTAGGCAGGAACATAGTGTTTTTGTTTTGTTTTTCATGTTTGTGTATGTATGTGTCTGTGTGTATGTGCATACGTGTGCAAAGGCCAGAAAACAACTTGTGGTAGTCAGCTCTCTCTTGCCACGTCAGTTTTGGGGACAGAGTTTGGGTCGTCAGGCTTGGCAGGGAGCACCTTTACCTGCTGAGCCGTCCTGCAGGCTCAGAACACAATATACATATACATACATACATACATACATACATACATACATACATACATGTGTGTGTGTGTGTGTGTGTGTGTGTGTGTGTGTGTGTGTGTGTGTGTGTTTTGCTTTTGTTTTTCGAGACAGGGTTTCTCTCTGTGTAGCTTTGTGCCTTTCCTGGAACTCGCTTTGGAGACTAGGCTGGCCTCGAACTCAGAGATCCGCCTGCCTCTGCCTCCCGAATGCTGGGATTAAAGGCGTGCGCCACCACTGCCCGGCTTGATCAAGCACTTCTTAAGTCAAATCAAGATCTATAGTTTAAGTGTCTGACCATGAAAGCTGAAAAATATATATGTGTTGCTATAGAGCTCGGGGTAGGACCCAAGACCTTGAGCATGCCAGGCAAGTGCTCAGCCATCAAGCTATACCTCATATATCCTGAGACAAACACTTGTACACAGATGTTTGGAAAAGCATTATTAATAATCTGAATAATTATAAATGATTTAGGGAAAACTTTTGAATGTCTATTTCTGCTATAAAAATCTTTTAAACTCATTACTTGAAATTTTTTACCTTGGGAGTTAATTTAGTAGAATCTTTCCTGTCGTCTTCCATTTCCCAAAGGGTGGAGATATGTAGCCCAGGGTGGCCCAGACTCCCTCATCTTCCTGCTTTACCCTCTGGAGTGGTGGGATTACAAATGGGCACCACTACACTTGGCATCTTACACGCTTTATTAATTCTTTCAAGGTGCTTGACATATGATAAGGAAGTGTATTATTCTAAATGCCTGGGATGTTTGCAGCGAAGGTACTGTCGTACATCTGAACTTCATCCTTTACACCAGTACCCCGCTACTCGGCATAGTCAACGGTCTGAGAGGTGCGTCTGTACCTGTGCACTGCGATCACAGAAGTGAAAAGTCTCGGGCTCCCCGGAACCAGATTTGTGAAAATAAACTCAAACCGGGTGGTGTTGCATTTTGTTAATATATAAAGAGCTTCAGTTTGGCCTCGTAGTTTCTGGAAGGACAAATTGATTACAGAGTTCAGAGTTGCAGAGCAAGTTCCCATGGAAGGTGGCAGCAAGTCTCGACTTTAAATCTCCAATGTTTCCTCACTGTACATCTACCTCATTAGACTTTTTCAGACTTACAGAGTTCGCAGTTCTTGTTGTAATACTCAATATGCAGTTGTAACCAATAGCTAAAATTTAAAAAAAGACAAAGAATGTAAGGAGTATGATATCGTAAAGTGAGAAACATAATATTGTAAAAAACAATTAAAAACCTAGAACTTTAAAGTTTTGAAAACTAAACACCAGCGGAAGTACAACTTGTAAAATTTGTATGAAAACTGTTCAAATTGAGGTTGGGGATGTAGCTCCGGGGGTAGAGCTCTCTCTCAGCAACATGAACCCTGGGCTTGATCCTCATCACCGGATAAACAGAGTGAGGCGGCCCACACTTGTGAGTCCAGCGCTCAGAAGGCGGAGGCAGCAAGCTCAGAAGTTCAAGTCATTTTCAGTGACACAGCAGGTAAGAGGCGAGCCTGGGATACACGGGACCCCACCTCAAAAAAATAATGAAAGAATGAAGGATATTATTACAAGAACTTGAGGGTCAGCTGTGCTTTGAACAAACAAAAATATTCCTAACATGGGAAAAAAATTTCTAAAACCCATATGATACCATTTACTAAACAATAAAAACAGAAACAAAAAACCTTACCACGATTACGTCAAAAGAAAGTCTGGCTACATCTGCCATAAACAACAGAAACTGTATGGCATGTTTTCAAAGACAATCAAAACCAGACAAGGAGCAGGGATGGCTGAGCAGGAAAAGGCATCTGCTGCACCAGCCCAGAGACCTCAATTTGATGGCCAGAGCCCGAGGAAATGGAAATGGTGGAGAGAGAACTGACACATAAAGCTGTCCCTCGGCACGCACAGCCCCACCCCAGACACATATTGTGCACATACACAGTGTGCAAAAAATGTAAAGAGGCCGGGTGGTGGTGGTGGTGGTG